TGAATTGAATTGAATTGTTATGACAGCAACATGTTGACATGAAGATGAGATTTTATTACCTTCATCAGCAAACTGCTCCTGCGACTCATCAGCTGGGGTCAAAATTTCTAGGTAGTGCACAGCTTTTTCTGCGAGCAACCAAAAAGAGTGAGACATTTTTCATCCTCTAATAGGACATTTGGTATGCTATAATATGGGTATTGTTTTGAAAAATCAGGAAAACCTGTGACATACATACAAATCTTTAGCTCTGGCTCATTATTAAACATGTTAAATCAACACGCCATTACAATTTCACTTATAAAGTCAAGTTTATGTTGGTGTCGTAATGTGTTGTGTTGGTATCCAGAACTAAACACCAAAGAATGCAGTTTCACCTAGAAGTATAAGTTCCCTCGAACCTGACGTACTGTACACCTTATTATTGTATGCCCAGGTACAAATACAGGTGTAGAGGCCCTCGTGGTCTTTGGTAGCATTATGCACTCTCAATTCGACTTCATGCTGATCTTCAATAAGAGTATAGTCCTGCACCGAGAAGGGCACAAATAGGGAAAGCAACACATTTTACTTCAATGAACATGGTCTGTTTTGTAAATCATCACAATGGCCCTGTCAATTACATCATTGTGGCTTAGTTTGTAATTGTTGTATTGTAAAAGTTTAGAGGTTTTTAAAGTAGCTCCCTTTTTATTAACTTGCAATCAGGTTCTTGCTATAGCAATGAAACCAACACTTTTATCTTACATAAAAATGTACACTGGTATTAACATGGACAATGTTTAAAAAGGTAAATAAAATTCCTTTGTTCAGAAGTCAAGCAACATTTTAATGTCATCAACTTCCAGGGCCAGTGGAATCATCTTTTGCCCCACTGGTTTCACTGGTTAGTACTGGTACTTATTACCATCAGCAGTCAGTTCTGGCACCTCTCAGCTTTGCAGCTTGATGCTGGTTGGCAACTAGCTCTTGCACCTTTTTAGCAAAGTATCCAGAGTCATAAACCAGGCAGGGTCATACCATCAATTAATCCAGTGGCCTTGATCCAAAAACGATTACCGAAAAGTCAGAAAAATCCCCCCCAAAAAAACGTGTATTCAAAATGGCCAAGCACCAAATCATTCAGCGTAACAAACAACTGGCAAACACACACCTTTATAGGGAGTTTGTACGTGTTTTGGAGTTTGCAAGTGTTTTGGAGTTTGCAAGTGTTTTGGAGTTTGTAA